TTGACGGCACAGTTCCTTTGTACGTCTTTGGTTTTTGATTGAGGAAAAACCCGCTGCTTTATTCGTTGCGTTGAAGGTACCTGCAGCAGAAATTTCACAGAGAATTTCCGTTTATGATATGGATAATTATGACGGATCGATACGAGTCGTAGAAAGACGCTATGGGATTGAGCACAAGATGCAAATGTACCAGATAACGCTGGATACTCGCAATCAAAAAGTCAATGAATCTCTGCAGAAATTCGCTTCCGAAAGCGAGAGATTTGCTCATCTGGCTATTGGGTACTCATCTAGTGTCAATTAAAAACACGATTTTATGCTGCCTATGTTTGATTTCTGCGCAGTCTTTGAACAAATTTTCTAGAAGCTGTATTATCTGCGATGAGATACGCACTTACTGGTCTAGAGGTGATGCAATGTTAGCATTCTGGACTTCCATCTTGTGGGACATGCGGGCATCCCGTTGTTGCTGTTGTGATGAAATGTTGGCCTTCTGGTCTTGCAGATGTGATGAAAAGTTGGGATTCATTTGTGACAGTGCAGCCAACAGTGCGTTCATGTCCACACCGGTAGATGCCTTTTCTTCAACATTCTTGGATGGCTGCTCCAAATTCTTCGCAGAATCAGCAGCATCCTCCTTCCCTACATCTGTTGGGTATGTCTTTTCGTACTCACGATGGAATTCGTATTGGCTCAAGTCAACTTCTACGGTTTCCACAGCTTCTCGCAGCCGTGATTTCAGCTCCTTCTTATTTCCGATTGAGGATAATCCTCGCTATGCTAATTCCCTTTTTAGCGGTTGTGTCGTCAAATCCTGAATAATTATCATTTCTAAATTCCTATCTTTTAGGATTTATTTAACAATCCAACTTTTGACACCAATTGTCATAACTAATTTTGCTAATTAAGCCTGTAGCAAACGAGTTTACTTTGTAACTGAACTAACTTGCGTTGGTCGCTGTCTTATATACCCAATTGATAGTACCCATACTCAGTTCTAGAAAATTCTAGCAAGTTCTCACCATACACAGAATACTCAACTCTAGCGCTTTATTTTTCGGTATTTCCTTTTTATGTGTCATTCGTATCACATTCATATCATTAGCCCGTTCTTGCAGGGATGTGATTTGTAATCATAAATTGCATTTTTGTCGACAAAATTGTAAATTAAAATTAAATTATTCTTAAAATCATTTAGACAATAAAAGATTAAATATTTTTTAGTTTATTACTTATTTGTTAAATTCTTAATGAAATGTTCAATTTTTCAACTTTATTTGTTTATTTATATTTAAAAATATGTATATACGAACAGAACCTGTAAACCGCCAATTCGCAGGTGTTTCTTTTAAAAATGCTATGCGAGGCGAAGCCGGCGTTTTAGAATCTTTATCCTCGAAAGTCTACTGCTAAAAATTAAAATAACTCCAAAAAATAGTAAGGACATATTTTTTTATTAAATTAATCCACTAGCAAATCGGATATAGAAAATAACACTCTGTCCTTTCAGAGCTTAAAATACTACATATGTCTTGATGTTTTTCCTACCTACAGTTTATACTAAGTTGCCTTCGAACGGCTGATGGTTTTTTATCATGAGCTTTTATTTTATGTCCGAGCTTGACATTCTCTGCAGAGGGACGACCGCAATTAGAAATATTAACTTAATTTTTTTAAATTAAATTTCTGTTATTTTGAAATATTGGTCTGTTATTTTGAAGTGTATAAAGTTTGTTTGTATATTATAAGTTTTATTTTTCTGTACTTTTTTGTTTACGTTGAAAGGTTGAATTTTTTTTTTTTGTAGTATATTTTTTCAATTTTAGAAAGTTGAAAATTTATTGTTTAATGAAAGATATTTTAAAAATATTTCTAACACATGTTTGTACATCTATATAACTGGTGCTAATAATACATAAGCTAGTGTTAAACCAACTCTACTGAGTATTGCGCTTAAACTTTCTGGAAATCAACATTGAAGCATATAAATAGTGTAAACAAATGTTACAAACCATTGCTAGCAGAATAGCAATACAATACAATGTTTGCCACCCTATTCTTCAGGTTTATTCTTAAATTAACAATTCCGAGCAATAAGCAAGAAACAAACTAGTTGTGTGAACCTTTTGGTGAATTTCCAAATTTTCCGACGATTTAGTAACATTACAACTAGATTAATAATACATTAATTGGTTACAGTTTATTGTTATATGAATATATGTAAGCATATAATATAATAAATATGAAAAAATGTACAGCAAATCTCTTCTGATCTGACATTTATTCGAGCATGTATACAGGCACCATAACAAACTTTAATTAACAATAGCTAAAATTACGCTGGAAACATAATAGAAAGAATATTATATTATTTTATTTATAAATTACAGCTTCGAGTCTTTGGCTTTTCTTTTAATAACTATGAGTAACAATAATATTTATAACTTATAGCTGCTGCAAAAGAAAATTGCTGAAAATATATTTACTCATATTGCAAATACATTAATGTATGTTTATAACTTATTATTAATGGCTGGAATCATGTCGTATTGTAAAAAAGAACTACAAACATTATATATATAATATAAATAGTAATGAAGATACATATACAATATTTGCTGAAAAATATATGTACATATACTGCCAATCTATGTTATTGTATATTCGTAATTAATAAACTCGACAAAGTATGTTTTCGTTAAAGCATTTTACATCTGTATTCGAAGAAATTTCGTTTCCTTACTTGGATCCATTATATTTTGCATTATTCTAAACACTTATTTCTTAAAACAGAGTGTGGAGTGTGGTTATTGAAAAATCTTGATACCAAAAAAGGAAGGTAGATTCATTCAATATAAAACTGAGAGAAAAACGATTTTTGACACTATATCTTATTTTCATTTTAATCTCAAGATATTCCTTATAGAAATATTTCATATATTTTTTTTATAAAAAAATGCTAAGACCCCTGAATTAGAACGTTATTTTTTATTAACTCCTTGCAATTTACATACATAGGCTCGTAATTTGGCTGTGAAAGTGATTTTCGAAATTCAACATATAAATCAAGCTCATTGGACTTCTTATTTCGCCTTAAAATTATTCATGCAAAGTTTTAAAATTTCCTTTTTCGCTTACTTCGTTTTAAATAAAAATACTGCTAAAAGTTTATAGAATACAAGGTTACGACAAGAACGAAATCATCTGTTAAATGAAATTTTCATAATTTTATCTAAAATACAGCTAAACATTTTGATTATTAAATTTTAAAGCGTTGCATTAAATTTTTTTAAAACTAATAATAACCAAAATTAATACTTTATGAATAGTTTTATGTTGAACAAATATTTTGGTGTTAAAAAAATGCATATTATGAAAATTAATATTATTTTTTAACAACAATTTCTAGAGCAAGCAACTCTAACTTTTGGTGTCATGTATTTCGAATGGCATGAGAAAATAATATTAAAAACGTTAAAAGTTATCAAAACTCAAAGCTAATGCGCAATATTATAAAATTTTTCATAAAAAGACCCCCATTTTCGTATATTTTCTATGTCTGCTTATCTCGTGTAAAAGTCGTGTTCAAAAATTGGAAGCGGTGAAAAAGTGAGCAGTGGGATATTTGGTTTTATTCGGCCACCTCGATCTTGGTTTGATCAAAACCTTAAAACAAGCTTATTTTTCGCTAATTTTTGCGCGATATTTTAATAAAAAAATGACCAAATATGTAACTGCGGTGTCGTTAGTACGTAAAATCAGAAACAAAATTTGCATAATTTGTGTTTTCTACTGTATGAGAAAATTTCCCCGTATATGCATACATATATTAAAAAAAAGAAGCTTTTTGTTATATTATATCAAATCCCGACAACTGTATATATGAGTTCGGTGACGGTTGTCGTAACCCTGTATCCTATAAACCTTGTGCTAAAACCAAGAAAAATATAACGTACTTACAAAAAACTCCAAGGCTTTGCATTGTATTTTCTGAACTTCGGTGGAAATAAAATTATTTTCAGGCGGCCTAGCATTTTTTTATAAAAAAGTATTTGAAATATTTGTAAAAAGGCAATATCTTGAAGTTAGAATGAAAGTAAGAAATAATGACAAAAAACTTTTCTGCAAATTTTATATTGAGTCAAGCTACCTGCCTTTTTTGTATCATGGTTAAACCAATGTTTTGAATATAAGTAGAACTCTTAAAATATGTAGAGATGCATGTGTCATAATTTGTTGCAAAAATAAAATGTCTTTGCTAAAAAGTGCATTCATATACAAAAAAACTATTAATTATCTAGTTTTGTATGAATTTTAAATAATAAATGAGCTAAAGTCTCTAGTCTAAAAAGCAAAAATTCTGCAATCGCGGATAAAAAATCATTATAGAAGGCTTCAAATTTGAGTCGAATTCGTCATATTTGTTGCCTATATTTGGTATTATTATATAGTTTTATTTCACACATATGTACATCTACATACCCATCATACGAAACAAGTGAAATAAGCAACAATCATCAATGGCAACAAATAGACAACATTGGTTTCTTGTCGCCAGTTCACAAGCCTGCTGATGATGAATTTTAGTGACAATTCTAGCGATTATATATTTTAATATTATAATATAATATTGCCTGTAAAATCGACTGATTTGTGTCTTTACAATAAATTGCAATATTTTTACAACTGAATCGTTAACTATTAAAAGATACATAAATTATTAAGCTAACTTATTAAATATTAATGTGTGAATTATTTAAATAATTAAATACACTGTTTTTGCTCAAATATCGTCTTGAACGTTAGAACGACTGGTAATAAGAAATCGATACGATGGCGATATTACCGGCAAGGCTGACTCGCTTTCTTATTGCCGGTAACAAAAATTTTCTGATGGGTATGTACATATGTACGTATGTTTGTATGCATTTTAATATTTAGCATTAAAATTATGTTCTTTTATTCTTGAAAGCAGAACCACTTTATGAATATTTTGTGTTTTATTTACATGTGTATGTACACGTAAATATGTAAGCATATCGGTATAAGTGCTGATTAAAACTAGTTTTCTCATAACTTTCTTTAGTTTGAATCCTCTCTGAGGGAAATAATTTCGCAATTTATGAAACATCCGAAAAATACCTTCATGTATGAATGTACGCATATCTTCCAATGATGTAGATCGATCTAGCTCGGCAGATGTTCCGAAACGCTCTGATATAAGGCATTTCCTGACTACTAAGGCAATTTGCATTTTCATTTTATTTGCAACAATTTAAATTCAGTAGACCTCAACTATAACTTATTAATCATTTTGAGTTCTCTTGTATGGAGTATTCAACGTTATTGAATCCGTATAAGAATTTGGGTCATCTGCAATGTAACCAATCTTGATGGTGATATCTGTGTTAAAAATAAAGAGAAAATTGATGTTATTTACTGAAAATTGTATTCAAAATATTAATTTTCACATATGTATATGTATGTGAAAGTGTAATTTGTTTGGAAAGAAGTATCTTCTTATTGTATTTTAATACCTGAAAACCTATTAAGTCATTCGACACGTAACGTCTTGGATAAGTTTTTTTTAAAGAATTCATTTGAAGATGTATTAGTACTTAATAATTAAATTTATTTGAATTATTATTACTTTTCTACAAACTGAATCATTTCAGTTAGAAATGAATATAATCTTTTGCTAACAATCATTTAAATTTATCCAAAAACTAATTACGAAAAATGATTTTCTTCGCCTATTATTTTGATAAACATTAATAGATGTTATATTCATCTTCTTTGGCTTCTTTGCCGCAAATTTCTTTTGTAAGATTATCCATGTAATAAACTGTTAAATCCGGTATTTACCGAACCGCCTTAGCCTTAGCTGAATTAGATATCCAGGGTTAGCCATCAACAAAATACTAATGGTTGTCTTTCCGACATGAAATGAATCGCTTCTCATAAAAGCCCATCATAAGTCTGGAGGCGAAAACCATCAGCACGGATTAAACTGGGACAATAGTCTTGATAATTTAGTGCATGAGGGAAAGCTTATAAAGCGTACCGGCCTTGGTGAGCCTATTAAAGAATATTTAGAAACTCCCGTTGCACTTATGGTTTTCTTGGCTATAGTTTACTTAAAAATCCCAAATAAAAATTATTTGAAATATAATAAAGTTAGAATTAAAATCAAAAAACAATCAAAAATTTTGAAAACATATAAAACATAGCAGGGATTGAAATAAAAAAACATAAAGAAACATATACAACAAGGAGATCACACAACAGACGAAAAAGCTCTTTTGTTCTTTTGTCCTTTTTACATTATTTAAAAAATTCTTATGAAAATGAGAAATAAGTTATTAATATTTTCAAATAGCAGTAGTATTTAAATAATCTACATCCCATACTAATTACAACTATTTAGTTTTATTCAAATGAAAGTTAAAAAAAGTAAGATAAAAATGCTTATTTTAAAACCTATCATAGTAGAAACAAGTTTAAGTATTTATTTCCGCTTGAATTTAATGTGTTTGTTTAAAACTTCAAAAGTGGTGATTCAAGAACTTAGTATATAAAAATATTAAACAAGAGATAATTCAAACATGATTAGCGCAAAAAATTTAATACAACATTTACACAACTTTACAGAATACGTGTAGTTTAGGACAATGTAACAAAGCAAAAGCAGAAACATAACCACAAACTGATAACGAAAACTCGAAAATGAAACATGTTAAGTAATGCGATGCAAATACTAAAAATTAAAACAAAATGAAATGCTTACCTTAATAATGTATGAATCTTTTGACGATTTCGCCAAGTATGTAGATTAAAAAAAATTAATTATGAAAATAAATAAATAAAAAGCTTTTTTGAAATTAATTTTTTGAACTTCGATATATTTTTATTATTGTTATTATTATTTTTTCAATCGTAATCATTTAACGGTTCTTGACTGTCAAAATTAAATCTAATGCCACTTACTCAATGTAAAAAAAAAAAAAATATTTATCATTTTTTAACTCACTTTTAGCAACATTGACAACTTAATAGTGTTTAAATTAATATAGTTTAAAGTTTTTCGTCCTATGCTAATTATATTATAGTTATTTGGTTATACTTAAAAGAATATTAAAAAAGAGTAAAACAATAACTTACAAAATACTTATCTTTGACTTAAGATAGTAGAAACGACATTTGAAGTGTTTGTTTTTTGTTGAATTTAGTGAGATGTTTCTTAGAGACTTTTGCTTTTGGTTTTTTGTTTTTCCTTCTATTTTTATTTATTATTGTTTATAATTGCAAGTGCTTTACTTTTTTATTATTTCTACATTTTTTGCGCTAAATATTAACAATTTACAAAAGTTTACTATAATTTACTTTTATCACTAAAATAAATTAATTACAAAATTTTAATATTTGGTATACGTTTTATTTCATTTAAAAAATACCTATTTCTATGAATTATGCATTACAGTGGTTAAATCTATATATGTACATATATCGTTTTCATTCGTCTCGAACATTGCGCTATTCGAAACAACACGTGGTGCAGTTCATCATATATATTTTTTCAAGCGCATACATTAAATCGTTGATCTCCAGTGAAAGGAAGTTGTTCTTTTTTTGCAGCAAATCCAAGCATGTTTTTCATGTATTTTGTTTTAAAAGCGCTGAACAGCATCCAAAGTGAGGGTGCTTTCCATAGTTTTCTTTTATATAAATTAAGTATGAAGGGTAATTCAAAAAAAAAAAAAATGTACAATCTTGGGTCAATTTTCACCCTTTTGTTTGTTTGCAATTGCTTGCCTTAATTTCTTTCATATTCACAATTTCTTCGATATTTACGTATTATTTATAAACAAACTGAATATATTTCATATTTCATAACATTTTCCTACAAATATTCGTGAAGAGAGACAATTGTTTCTTAAACTTAGAACAGATCAAAATAAGAAATAATTTTATTTTTATATTTACAGTTTTAAAAAATTAAATGCTTGGGAAAAATATTGTAATAATCCATTTTTACTTTCATTAAAGAGTTGCAGATGGAAAATTAATTAAATTAAGAAATACAATGTAATATATAACTAAATACATGAAATTTAATTTTGTTATATTAAAATAAGAAGGGAACTTTGAGTTTAAAAATCATATAGATTGAATACTGTTGTCTATGTCGGCGGGTGGCCAAGGGCAAAAGTGTCGCTCTCCGATAATTGTTATTGATATTTTGAGCGAAATTCTCAATATTTTTATTAACATACTCGAATTTTGAAATTTAACTACGTTGTGTCATTATTATACATACACAATCTTTTTAATCTCATCTTGATATATATAAACAGTTTCATTAACAGTTTCAGAATCGGCAAATTTATACTTTTCGATCATCTCGGTTTTAATTATGATTGCATTCGGTTGAGTATTCGGATTACTAGTCTGTTAAATTGCATTGTTATAGCGAGTCACAGTCGGATTAACAAAACAATTTCTTGGTACATAGCTTCCATTATATTTATATACGTACATTATCGAGCATAATTGAATTAGAAAAATTAGGTTTGTCAATTGTGTAACTTTACAAAGGAAGTCTAAGTAATTAATCTAACAAGCCAAAACAAAACCAAAACGTTTTGAAAATCAAACAATTAATAGTGGTAGGTACTTGGCGGTAGATTGCAATAAAAAATCTGTGAATAAATTAAATCGGTATAAATAAATTATTAATTTTCGTTGTGTATTTTCAAAAATTTAATTTTAAGTTGGAATGATAGTACTCCATCTTAGAAAGTAGATCTAGAAAATCTAATTAATGGACTACTTTAAAAGAGCAATTATTAAGTAATGAAGAACATGATCGTTCCCTGGCATTTGTGAAAGTGAGTACTGAAAAATTTAAATAAAATAAGAAACCAAACAAATTCTAAAGATAAAAGCATCCACTACCAAAATACCAAACCACACGTATTAATAATCTACAGTCAATGTGTTAATTTGGTAAAGTAAATGAACAAAACGTAGTTATTCCAAAAATGAGTAAATTCTTGCAATAGAAAGGTAGCAGTATGTAACTTTAATTTAATATTAGAAAATGAATTAAACTTTTTTTTGAAACTCCGAAAAAAGCTTTTATGAAAAGCTCCTCTCAGGTGTATTTAATTTTATTACGTTATTCCGTGTAGTATAAACATATGTTGCATAAATATTATAAATAATGCAATGTTAAGCAATCAATTCACACTGGTAACAAAAATGTAGAGACGGAACTATTTTGAAAAGTATCACCGTTTTCCATCAATAAAAATTAATTTTTTATTTGCGAGATTGTAATACGAAAATGAATAGTTTGAGGCTTTGGTTTTGAAATGCTAAGAAATTGAGAGTTTAACGACTATGTTAATATTATTCAGTTGCTTTGAGGAAACAAGTTTTACGCTAAATCTTTGCGATGTATATAAGAGTTCCCAAACTATCAATAATACCAATAACAATTATTATTGTTTAGTAAAATTGTATGACTTTTACGAATTCAATATTATAGCTATTTATTGACTACGTGAGTAATGTACGTATGCATATATGTATGTATGTGTGCCTGAATATATCCCCAAAAAAATTGTCAACAGTTTTAATTTCAACGTACAATTATGAACGTTTATTTTTGTGAAAATAAACAAGATATTTTGAACATTCCATTCATAAGGAAGGCTTTGGCAGGTAAATTGTTTTTTTTTTTTTTTAAAAATTGGTCAAGAAAAATCTCTTTGCATTTAGCCGTATGTACTCGTTTGGATACATATGAACATATTTATCTCGCAGTAATGTATTTACACCAAAAATTGCTTTAGAAAAACATACATAGAAAAATGGAAAACCAATTTATAGTTCTGTTGTAAATTTTTAAGTGTTTTCGTGTGCGCATTCCGAGAGTACCAAGAAAGAGTGTGCTTCATTAATATTTCCATGAAAAATGAAATGAGGGCAAAAGCCTCTCCAAGATAGTGAGATCGATAGTCTTTTTTACCAAACTCACTGTTTATACAATTACTCGAAAGGGTTCATTGTACGGTATGTAAGAGAAATCTTTCATTTCCGTAGAGGGTATATATACTCGTCAATGTATGTATGAAATAAATAGAACGGTGAATGTGGGTGAGATTATGTTAGCGTAAGTAATATATAAGTACATAAGGGTGCCGTCTGAATCTAAACATTAGACAGTCAAAATTTTTGTTTGCTACCGCCAACCCAAATCTAAATGATCTTGCTATCTCTAGGCAATTTTAGGAATTTTAAAAATTAATTTGTTTTCTTCTTAATTTATATGGATGATCATTACTATAAATTTTACCATGAAAATTATTATTGTTTGAAATGATAAATGTTTGCGTATGAATACGAATTTACCTATGCACATATGCAAGTGTTCCATTGTTCATGTGTATATAAATGGATGTATGCACATACATACATATATATCTATGAGCGCGAACAAGAGAGCCTCTAATGAATTTTAAGAAATTCTACATTAACATACTATTACTTTCGTTTGATCGCAAAATTTGTTTACATTTTTTTCATATTTTTTTCAGCGTCAAAAAAAATATGCTGTATATTTTTCTATGTTTTTTTTTCATAAGGTATTTATAATGAATTTGTTTTTTCTTGAATAAATAAACTAAAGTTAACAAATAATTTAAAAACAATAAAATAACATTGAAAGGTAATAATAATCGTAAAGAAATTAAATAAAACAATAAAAGAGCAGTAGAAGTAGGAGGAACAGAGTTAGTTAATAATATTGAGAAAATATTATTGAGTAAAATAAAACTACTTTCTATAGCACCTTTGTTTTTTAAACAAGAAAAAAATTACTGTGGCATTATTTCTCATACAAAGTATGAGTTGCGAATGGTTTTTAATTTATATATTCATTGTTTTGGTATTACCAATACATAATTAACCTTCAACTTCACTAAATTTTTATTAGATTATAATATGGGTTGCAATTAAATTTCGGTTTGCAGAAATTTCAAATGTTTTAATTTAATTGTAGAATATTAATCACTGGAATGTGTTTTTAAATTAATATCGAAATGTAGTTATAATTATGTATGTTTTAATTAATATTTATGTACTTCTGCATGCAAATCAATTGTAACATACTTTTAGCATAACGAAAATGTTGCGCGGTTAATGTGTACATCTATGTATATTTTTTATAGGTTTAAAAGAAAAAATTATTGAACTACCCAGACAAAATTTTGATAAGCCTTTACTCTATCACCGCTTCTAACCCAGCCCAGCAGCAAATGCTTTCTGATCACCGTACGCATGATCAATCATCGAAAAACGTACTCTCTTGTTCCATTACAAAAATGCTTCTGAGCAATGCGATCTATTTTTATATGTACCTAAACAAATGAGCTCAGCGAAGTATCGCCCAATTTGCAATTTATATTATAACTGAATTTATTAACAATAAAACGGGAAGAGTTGTGGAAAATAGTACGAATAAGACCTTTTCAATAAAAACTCTTGGACAAAAAAATTAAAAGGTTTGCAAGAAATGTGGCCCGTGTCAACAAAAGATGCGTATCAATGACGAGTGCAGCAAGTGGTCCAATCCAAGTGGTGGCAATCGCTTGTTTAATAAATATTTTGCTAACAGAGAATCAAATCCATGAAAAATGGTGCCATTTATCGATATGTATACACCAACAGTGTCCTTTAACATCTGATGACAACTGATTTTAATAAAGGTAGCGCATTACAGATGACATCAAAGAAGATATCACGTTTTAAAATTCAATATTTCAATCCTTTATCTGGTTTCATAATACCCGAAGCAACACAAAGCAATAGCAATAATTGCAGAATCGACTGTATAATTTATTATATGGTATAAAAATATAAACCTATATGAATAAAGCGTCTTTATATTTAGTTTTTTTTTCAGCGAAAATGATTCCCTACCATCATTAAGAATTTTAATGAACGGCCATATGTCAAAATTAAACATTTCAAGAAACTGTGCACATTGTAAGCAAAATAATAATCCAAGAATCATCCCTTTAATGCGATTACAAAACCCTTTTATGTAGTGCAATACGTCATTGCTTTTGTAACCAGTTAGGAAATCGCTTCTAAGTAATACAATTGCTTCTTGTTGTATCTTAAGAAATGTCACAACAGCGTTTCTCTGTAGAGCAAGGGATAAGCACTTCTACCTAATGATGAGCTGGGTTAAAATCGTTGGTAATGTAATGATATTGCAAAATTTTGTTGGGCAGCTTCTATAAACATATGTATGTATGCAAAGAACAAAACATATACGTATGTATGTTATATGTACATCAGAAATATTTTTCTTACTTTAATTATGTTTTATTCTATTGTTTAAATCTAATTTTTGGTTTATTGCATTTATGGTAATATTAGTGTAATGCGTACTAAGAGTATGTGTCAGTGAATGTTTATGAGTATGTGTTTTTGGTATTTTTCAGAGATATGGTTTTAAATGTCATTCTATTCGAATGATAACTATTGTAGTGGCTAAATTTAGTTCAAGGTGGTCTGTTAAACTTTTAAAAACATTTCCAATTTTAACAAATTGTGATGCTATAGAAAAGCCTATTTTAGCAATAATAACTTCCATAAAATTTGTTCTCGCCACATTCTTGTTCATTACTGTACGTACTGGGAGATATGTTATTGACCTCCTTGCGATCGCATCGTTCGCCCATGAATCCTTCTGGACATCTGAAAGAATAAAGGTTAAAAATTATTATAATAAGTTTTAGGTTTAAGGACATGTTTCATTGAAATCTTTAAAGTACTTATTCCAATGATTTGACTTTTCATGAGTTTCCTAAAATTAATTTTAATCGATTAGATACATTAAAAAATAAACTCTAATAGGAGTGCTGCCCAAAAAGTTTTAAGTATCGGTCTCAATTAGCGCCGGGCGTGTGGTTTCCATGCATCGTTGAAAGGCTTTAATATTTATATTTTTTTCATTCTTATGTTCGACCATTAGTCGCTTTTAAGAGCTGGGCAAAAGCTGGGAACCGAGATTATGGAGTTGGAGAGTCGGGCTGCTGGCTAGCTTAAAGTTATTGACGACGCTTAAATGTAAGTATCGTCTGGAGGTTATGCTCACCTGTAAATCTAACATTGGGAGTTAATGGTCTGATTTATTAATGTCGTTGTTAGGTGGTTTAGTTGTTGTTGTTCGTGTTGTAGCGGTTCGCTAGACCCGCTTATACACAGGTTTGATTAATCTAAGTCGCCGAGTTCATCTAATGAGAGGTCCAGGAAAAGAGCTGCGTCGACGGGGTTGGACCCAAAGGAGAGGGGGGTTAGATGAGTTGGTTTGAGAGGGCATGCGAAGAGGTGGTTAGTGTAGTGCGGGGTTTCTCCACACGCAGAGCATCTGTTGCTTATGCTTGGGTCTAGTCTGGATAAGTAGGAGTTTAACCTGCTACTGTATCCAGACCTGAGTTGTGTCAGGGTCACGCGGGTCTCTCGAGCTCGTTGTCTGCTATAGGTGGTAGTTTTTCTCCGAGTACGCCCTTCACTAGAAGGGAGTCCTTGAAGGTGTTGACTGACTCCTGGTGAATAGCGTTCAGTGCTTGTCCGTACGCCGTCCTGTCCAGCGGTTGTTGTACATATGGCTGGATTGTGTCCTTTAAGTCTAGAACCTAGGTGGAGGTCCGGCTTATATTAGGTGCCTACTGGGGTGCTCCCTGCGGTAGCATCTCAATAGGAACTGCTTGTACAGCAAAGCATTATGCTCCTTAACTCGTAGCATAGATGCTTCGCTGTACAAGTGATGCTCCGGCGACATCAGGAGGTTTTCTGGCTGTGCTCTGGTGTCTCGTTCGTCCCCGGCGCCCAGATCGGTGCAGCATAGTTTACGACCGGCCGGCCAATTGCTTTATAAGTTGACAGCAAAGTTTCTTTGTCTTTACCCCAGGTGCTGCCGGCTAGCGCTTTGAGTATTTTGTTGCGGCTGTGGAGTTTTGCGGCAATTGCGGTCGTATGCGGAGTGAAGGAGTGCAGGCTGTCTAGTGTCACTCCCAATATCTTTGGGTTATTTACAGTCGGAATTTTTGTGTCATCGACCTTCACATCTAGTTCAAGCCTGTACTCCCTGTACGAAGTGAAAAATATCAGCAAGGTAGCAGTTCACTTTCGAACAGAGGTCATCAATATCCTGACCAGACGCCATTATCGTACAATCATCGGCATATGATGTTAGGGAAACTCCATCTGGTGGAAAAGGAGCTTAAAAATATAAAAATTAAACAGCAGCGGGGGGAGGCCACCACCCTGCGTAATCCACTGTTTAATTTTTCGGGGTTTCGATGTTTCGCCTCGGAATATTACTACTCACGTAGCCCATGACCCACCTCTGCAACCCCGGCGGTAAAAGATTCCTCAATATCCGTTAGTAGCTTTTGACAAATCTAGTGCTACTAGGACAGTTCGCGCGCAGGGACGGTTTTGGTTAAAGCCATTGACTATGTGGGTGTTTACGGAGTTAAGTGCTGTTGTGGTGCTGTGCACTTTTTGGAAGCCATGCTAATGCGCTGCTGGACGCAGATGGTGAGTAAAGATCGGGAGCAGTGGGCCTTCAAGGGTCTTCGCAACGGGGAGAGGAGAGTTATCGGCCGATAAGATTCACATTTGTTGGCTGGTTTCCCCGGTTTGAGTGCCGGGAACACCCTGCCATTTTCCACACGTCAGGTATCATTAAGGTGATCACAGACAAATTGAGGACCTCGTGAGAAATTCTGCTCTCACTGGTCTTAGATGATTGAGCATCAGCATGCTAATTCTGTCGGGGTCGATGGATTTGGAGGCTTTCGTCCTCCCAATGATTCCCTGAACCTCCTCCCAGGACAAATCAAACGTTTGGCAGTTTGCGCATCCGGCGGGTTACACGTCGCTTCGCTTTGTCTACCGAAGGATGCAGTGTGAAAAGTCGGCTAAAATAGCTCGCGCATCTCTTCGGGTCCGACGAGGCGCGATCACCGAATGAAATCTCGTCGGCTTAGACCATGACTTGACAGTAGCCCAGGGCTTGGTTGCCCCAGAGGAGAGGTTGCAGGTTCTAATGTGTTTCTCCCACTTTTGCCGCTTGTGGTTGTTGACTACTCTACGAATCTCCGCGTTTAAATCCCTGATTAAGAGGTTCCCGAGATCGGAGCTTAGGAGAGTGTCGCGCCTGGATGCTAATACCGCCGCTTCTGTGGGAATTTCCGTAATTCGGCCTGCCGGTATGAAGCGGGCGGTAGCGGTCACGACGACCCTGCGGAATAAACTCTCACCAGTGGTGACGTCTGATGGAGTGGGTAGAGCACTTAAGGCGTTCTTGGTGAAGTCCGATGCAAGTGTCAGTACAGGTCGCCAGACTATATTGTTCATCAGGCCAACACTCGCAATTGTTATATCCGGCGAGCTTTGGCAATTACCCATAACTCTGGTAGGGAGATTATCGTTCATTGTGAAGAATATCGAATCGTCTATCTCTTTTGGCAGCTCCATTCCTCTACGGTCATTTGACAAGCTAGAATGCCAAAGATCGCGATGCGCGTTAAAGTTGTCCAAAACCAAACGCGTTTCACCCATGAGTAGCGCACCTATATTAGGGGTGTATCCTACTGGAGGAATGTATATATTAAATATCTCGAGCTATGCCCTGACATTCGATGGCGGTCGATGTCACTGTCGACAAGACGACACTGCACGGTGTTGTGCAGGATGAACGCTAGGCCCCTACCATAGTCTCGGTGTAGTATATCGCTGTTGTCTCGTCCAACTCAACTCTATAAGTCTGATAGCATTGACTGCTGCATCGATCGAGTAAATATGATTATAATCAGTTGATATAGGAATATGTTAAATGCATCTTATTTTCCTTATTCTTTTTTTTAATTATTTATCTTTCAGTTCAGTTTGGTGTCAATGCTCGCCCCAGGTATTTTGCTGTGGAGGATAGAAACTGCTCTACCATTATCTATGTAGTCCATTGTACGCGGTTCGTGAATGCAATCTCCATAACTTCACTGATTGTAGAAGGAAACAGTTCTGTTATATTAACATATGATATTACTTTCACTCCTCATCTGTTGAGTAGTATTTCGACGTTTAGAAAATAGAATAAATCACCTTCTCGTGGAGTTACTGTGTTGAAGTAGATTATACGTGATCTGAGCGGCTAGATGTTATAATAGTTCTGTGTATAAATATCTATTGTATCCATCTACGAACCGTGTCCTCTATGCCAATATGCGACATAGAATCCATGAGCCCTTTGATTGCGATCTGTTTCCGCTGTAATAATATGTTTCTGTTGATACATGTTGGGGAGTGGACAAAATTGGTATGTTGAAGTCCTCCTTCTCTTGTTTGGTAACAAGCAGGGAGAAGCACTTTCAGAAGCATATCAAAAGTTTCACCGGCGACAGCTTTTAAACAACCATGCTCCTAATCACGTTGTTTACTGTCGACTTCGACAAAGACGACGACCTCGACAAAAACAAATATGTGCCAATAGCTGTCAATGTATAGCTGTATCAATGAACTCTAATGGAATGCGAATTTTGTCAAGTCGAACTCGTTGTCGACGACGCCAACCACAATAAGAGGTGAATATAATTTAATATTAAAGTTAGACCATTTCCCTATTCAGTGGAAGTACGCTAAAATTGTGATGGTACCCAATTCAGCTAAGCCCAATCAGTTTATTTCATATGTAGAATATTACCAGTTCTGAAAGATAACAAGACAAACGTGAATAAAGCCAACGTGTAGTTAAATACATCGCTTTTAAGTGACAATATGTATTATATATTAAATTGTTATTATTATCCGTTTATCTTGTTCTCGCATTAATTTATTATTATTAATTTTTTATAATTTCAATAACACATAAAAATAGAATGCATTAATAAAATTGCAAAAATTCGGTTGCCGTGAAATCAAATGTTAAATGACTCTGTTTTGGAGTCTATACGCTGCCTAATCTCATTCATTTATATACATACATATGTATATATAAAGTACATACAGATACATGAAAAATTATTTTACAAAAAACTAAAGGGTAAGTTGTCACGTATCTCGTCGGTTAGTGTTGCTACTGTAGGCCATGCTTAAGATTTTTAACGAGATTTGGTTTGATCTTGCCCCAGATGTGTTCAACGAACGATGACGAAAGTAATCAATGAGTTGTTGACAGTTTTACAGTCTGGTTGGAAATGAAGAGAATCAAATGCTTTTTGTAGTTCCATGTCTGTATGTATTTTTTCTTTGCATATGTTAACTTTTTATAAAACACATACATATACATATATATACACATATAGACGACTCTCGTTAAATCATAACCCGCGCGACTCTTAAAATATTACGAATTGAGTGTTTGAACTATCAAGCGGTTCGAAATTGTTGAGAGACAAGAATGACAAAAGTAAGGTCAATTAATTAATATTTATAAAGAATACAGTTATATTGGGTTTCTTCGAAGTGCATTTAAGAGAAAAAGTACCTGAACTGTTTTTTCACCATATTCCTTTTGTACACCATATTTATTTGTGTACAGAAGTTTTGTAAGGTCTCGAATGAGACTTTTGCTTCCTTAATGGACATTTTTGCCAAAGAACTGTTGTACACAGTGCAATCGTCTAAAAAAGAGAAAAGAAATAGTTTTTCTCTGTTTATGTCTCCATCGACTGTAAAAAGCTAAACGTTAAAAAATTCTGCTTTCATTAAAACTTTTTTCTTAACAAGGTCATCAGTAGGAAATGAATGAATTGAATTGACAAGTGTTTAACGGCAACTAGTTCGAATTACCGCGTCGTTTTATTTCGTTCGAATTGACAAGGACATAAAAATGTATTGATCTATTATTAATAGTTCGAAATATTAAGCAATTTCGAACTAACGGGAGTCGACCGTAAATGTACCGTCGTCGACACCGGAAAACCAAAGATAAATAATACGAAATCCCATCATTTAAGAGTATTCTGAAAATCTTACTACAATATGATAGTCATTAAATCACGCCTTTGGAAACACCCGTATACCTTTCATTCACTACATATTGTGTTCGAATTGGATCTTTTTGTTTACTAGTGCCGAATCGTCTGAGAGTATGCAATGTGAATTATATCTTTCACCACAATTTATTTCCAACATATATACTCTGCTAAAATTGTTGGACTATTTGCCCCAACTGCATAACTTTGGAATACTTGCGATATGCTCCTGTGGAATGCTACAAAGAACCAACTCATGTCTTTCAGCCCATCGATGTTCATGTTTTAACGAAAAGAGCCATTAAATTTGTATAAAATTTCTTTTTTAATAAAAATGTATAAAATTGACAAAGAGTCAGTTATGTTTTGTTGGTGAACTTAGCTGTGTACAAAAAAAATTAAAGTTTTAAACAATATCCACAGAGTTCCTTCAACTAACATTGCTCAATGAAAGAAAGAAAAAATGCATTAATTGATATTTTATATTAAACACATAAACTGTACTCGTAAATAAAATTTTTACCATAGCGGATTGCATTCCAAACTAGTACGTTAATTCTTATAGATACTCCATAAAATAAGGCTTTGAAAGAAGTTTTTAAACGCCTATAGGTGCTGTGCTATGCAGAGTTGGAGTTGGTCCCGCCTTGAAACATCGCAACGGTAATCGGAATGTAACGATGTGACCAATGACGATTTATAGAGCGCCAATCACGCTCCTTTGAGCACTGCCCCTACACGATGTGGAAGTTGTGCTTGGCAGTTGAGGCTGGTCGACTTCCACATTTTGGATGTTAGATGTTGTGCTAAAACTCGATTGCTTACCCCTTCCCATTGTTGTTCGCACGGTTGCATACTCAGCTACCGTGGCCGCAAAGATGAAAATACTAGTGTGGGCAAAAGTGGGCCTTGAGAGAGCGTGTCGATTCACCTTTAATCTCCTCAATTGACTCAAAACGGTGTCCTCGAAATGGTCTTTTGAGTTTTTGGCTGGTGTAGATTTTGAAAAAATCGAAAAAAAATTTCTGTCTTTAAAGGTGCTTTAGGGTCATAGAAATAACGTACCAAAAGATGGATGCCGCCAAAAATGTCTAAATGCCCAAATTTTTCATTCGACAACGATGTTGTAGGTCGCAACTTTAAACGCGCTTTTCTCGAAATCACTTTTTTTAAACTGGCCGAAGGCATAACTCGAACATATCTTCACCGATTTTTACGAAATTTTGACAGTACATTTGAAATGCCGCTCTCCGAAGACATACGTAGGGTTTTTTTTATATTACATAGTTTTTTTAATCAAAAATTTGATATTGTTTTTTATAGTGAAAATTGTAACTTTTTCGCGAAAAAATCCTACGTACGTTTCTTCCTGTTGTTATATAGAAGCTAAAAAGTTTATTTTTTGATCCAGGACAAAAATTAAGGAGTTTACATATTCGGCCATGGACCCATCAGAAACAAATGCGTCTTCGGAGAAATGGTGGACAGCGGCCATTTTGAAATTAATTCACACGAAAAATTTTGTATTTGTGTCGTGAAACCTATATTATTAAACCTATTTCTCAGATTTTGGATTGATTCCTTTGTTGAGTCAAAATAAATTCATAAAATAAGCCTATTTTTTGCGCTCTGGACCAGCTTCCGTCTTTAAGTAATATTCCTTATTTACCATTTCATCGGGCGCAAGGAATTCATAGTGCACCACACCACGAAAATCAAAGAAAATAGTCAACATGATCTTAATTTTTGGGCGAATTTGACGTTGATTTCGGTCTTGCCTAACCTTTAGCACGATATTTTTTGAAATCTTTGTACCACGTATAAACGTTCTTCTGCAACATAGTTGAGTCCCCAAAGGCTTTCTGTGGCATCCTCAAAGTTTCAGCAGCCGAAAGGTACCTTCAGTCGTTTATTAAACACAAACATTGACATGAAATTTGGCGTAGATGTCAATAACAGTGCTACCCACATAATATATAAAGAATTAACCCGAAATATTAAACGCGCGAAGCTCTAATTAAAAATTCACCTTATTTTTTGCCCACAGCAGTATAATGTCTTGTGTTTTTCTAAACAGAAATTTAAAAGTACTAATAGAGTTAGTTTTCGTTCATGAAAAAGCATTTACTTTTCAATTCCTGCTTAGCGCGAAGGAGCACCTGCATATTAAAAAGTGATTCAATAGTTCATTTTTTATCTTGTGCATGGATTCTCAGTTTGTTATGTTAATCCTTAATACTTACATGCAAGAATAAGAGCCGATTTCCGAAAAGAAATTACATGTACCACCATTCAGACAAAACTCAGCTGCATCATCAGGACAAACATTTCCAGTTCCGCCCGTTAAACTTGGATAACGTGGTTCTGGAATTTATAAAATTTTATTGAAAGGATTTCTCTTATATCAGTTTATTAAACTAATTAATGTAAGTTCATCTATATACCGTATACATGTATAACCTTTTAGCCGTGGATAAATTCGCGACGACAGCTTTTGAAATCTTATTTACGAAACAGAAGAAAAGTTCAGAAAGGGACAGGATTTTAATCAATGAAAGGAAATCAATTTATATTTCATTACCGAACATGAAGGGAATGCAGTTTGCGGAGTCAGTCGCGATATTATTAAGTAAACGAAAATAAGTAAGTATCAAAAATGTGTGAAACATATTAAAAAGAAGCTCACATTGGGCAAGATAGACTAAGAAGAACTAAACCGTATCGAGGACACACATGCATATGTATGCATATTATTGTATAGCGAGCAATGAGCAATAAACGAGTGTGAAAGTACTCGTTGTTCAAATCTTCGAACAAAATCTTGAACTTTAGTGCTGAGGAGCGGACACAATTTGGAAAAATTAATTTTCTATAATTTTGGATGTTGGACGGATCAGGAGTCGAACCCTGACCATAGAAAGTTAGTACGCAATGCAAACTACTAAGGTTCTGTGGCCGCCGGTCAGTCTTCTTATAAAAGGTCTGGGCAGACGCAATTCTAACGTGGATTCATATTATATTACAAATACTAACAACAAGCAAATTTCATCTAAACTTGCGGAAAGCGTTTGCAGAAAGGGTGGCAAACCTTCCTTGCTACCATACGTAGAGTCACGACTAGTGTGTGAAGGATAAAACTAAGAAAAAATGGAGTAAAGAAGAAGAATAGGCGAATTAGGTAAAAATGACAAATGAATTGAATTTTGTAAATAAGATGACAAATACTCAATGAAAGTTATATTCAGCTGGTTGGGGCACACCTTTGCCGGCGGATAAAGTTCTTCAAATCTTGGTTGAAATAAAATGCAATTAATTTATTAAATGCCCTTTAGATGATACGAACATTAAAAGAATGAGACGACGTTAAAGCATCAACGCTCTTATTTAGGTATAGCGCGCTTTGAGCAATAATTAACCAGCGCCCAAAGTTATGCAAAGATTTACGCTCCTTGCGTAAACACAAAATAAAAAATTAATATGAACAACGTTGAAAACAGGAAGTATGAAACAGAATATAGATAATCTTATACTTAATTTTGCTTTCAAAATTTTATTTATAATAATTGAATGGTGTAGAATGCTCACTAATCATAAATAATGAAACTCACCTGGGTCCGCTTTAATGAGTATAGTTCGTCGATCTGGCTCTTGATTGATTTTATTTTTAGCGCGACACTCATATCGTCCAGTATCGGAAATGTTAAATGAGCGAATTATCAGTTCGGAGCGTTTTCTAAATGTTGTACCCGAGTTATGTGGGAATGAGATTGTACGATAAAAACATTGATATACATAAATATATTTAGTTTAACTACAAAAGTAACTCACTTGAAATGTCGGAATTTGTACAATTTACGATTGCGATTAATCGATTTCCCATCCTTAAACCAGGTGACCTTGGGCGGCGGTCGTCCTTGCACTTTGCACACTATGTGTAACTCTCTACCGATTTCCATCGTCCGGTTTGTGGTTATAGTTCGTACTGATGCGAGCTGTGCTGTAAAAAAATGTAATGCAAATATAACTTGTAATTATTAATGATTAGCCACGTAAAAGCAACCCAAAAAGGTTTTGTAAACATTGTCTGCTAATCTCAACGCAAATAATTTTCTTTTAGCATTTCTGGCATTCACATATAATAAATAATCGTTTTCTGTGCTATACATAAATATCTTAAGATACATTGGAGTATATTGTATTGGAGTATATATAATTTCCAAAAAAAAAAAAAAAAAAAAAAACAAAGAATATGGGGTAGAGAAGCGATTGGCGTTTCATTTTCTGTAGTTAGCTCCCTTTTCTGTTAGGTCTTTTCGGTCGCCAAATTTCAAGTAATTTACATATATGAAATTTGTTACTCCACAAGTACCTACAGTGGGTTACATTAACTTTATATTTTGTTGCCAATAAATATATAACATATTCAAATTTTGTGCATTTGCTCTATTTGCATTGGAATGTACTTATGCTCAATCTTATACACGTCGTCTATGTGCCCACTGAGCTCGCCAACTTCAGTTCATTATCCGTATACTTGTAAAATACTTGAATATTACGCACATTCATCGGGGTTAATAATTGCGGGGTGGTAGCGAGTCGCGAGATGATCCAAAAGTTTACTACAGATCTGTTGATTGAGACCTGTTTGATTAGTAGACGGACCAAATGGTCCAAACAATTTTTTTCAGATTAGTGGTTTCAGTGAACAAGTGCCCATCTCTGTTACATCCGTAGGCAGCGGTGGCAAACTATGTTTATACATGCACGTCGAAATGGCGCTGATTAATATTTGATGATACAGAGCGGATGCGACAAAGGTACCTAGGGGTTGATTATAGGTTTTAACTTCCAGAATGGCGGAATCTCGTAAGGCTCATGGTCGCTTTGGGGATTTGTTTAATACATTAAAAACAAATTTGCTCAAAAATGTCCGCTATGTTAATGTATTTTATAGTTTTTCGATGGAAAACCTGTTCATCAAAATAATTTTTAATAGATCATCAAGTATTATACTCTTGTAAATATGATATTTATATCTTTTCTTTCTGCCATTTTAATAAAGTAGTGACGCACATAAACTCACCAAGAAAGTAATAGTCTGCTAATAAGCAACCTTGTTGGGGTGAATTTAACGTGTGTATTAGGAAACTTTGCTATGTTTATTAAGCATCTAGGACAAAATGAAGATGTTCAGAGTGAACATATGCCTGTCACCTTATATGTGTGTTTGTATAATACTGAAAAATGGTAAGTTAAATAAATGTTTCAAGGCGAAGAACAAGTTGGTAATGCTTGTTAGAAGTAGTATTCTTATCATGTATCAAGGCAGTGATGATGATGGTATATTGAAAGATATACATATTTCTGAAAGATCGGTCTGTGCGGATGAATTGGGGGAAATATTGAGTTTGAAATGAATAATGATCAAATAACGTTTTTTATCGGAGCTTCTACCGAGGACATGCACCAAAGCTTGTGATGCAGATGCACAATATTCGAAGGTTACATAAATGACGCGAAAACTGCCAAAGTATGGAGGCAATTGAAAATTGTATGCAAAAGTCAGTTAAAGTTCCAAAATCTATACGATATTATCAAAAAAGGATACGGTGGCATTATGGTTTGACGACGTAAACAATGCTAAAATTCAGCTAGGACATTTAAGGAATCAGTCATACATTTTGAGCCTGAACGATAATATGCGAGATAAGTTGTGTTCAAATTGAGTAGAAACAACCATTGACTGCATGTGTTTATTACAGACTTAGTCAAAAGTTTAGGCACAGTAAAGAGGTGTTTTATATGTTTTAAATAGTATTGAGCCAAAATTAAAAACACTTCGATGTTGTGGTGCTATACCAAAAATTGTAAAGCTGGCAGCTGCTTTGAAATTTTATACAGTGCAATGGATAAAACATAGCACACAGTTCCTAAAGCACAATTGGCAATTAATAATATTTTTACATACTAAATATCACAGTTGTTTGTTTTCCTTGGACTAGTTTTTCACGTGTCTGCTCCGAGATCCAGTGGACAATTTTGCTGCGCGAGGGGTAAAAAAATCGAAATACATTTATAACTCGGCTGTAATGGCGTGAGCGGTGCCTCTGACAATATAGGAGGAGAGGAAGTTGTATAGTTATTATGATCCTGTTCTGCTGTTATCGTACAAGATACAATCCATTATTAACCGGATTCAATATGTGCATACATGTAGAAAGAAATAAACCAAAGTAAGGCAAGTTGTTAAATATAATTGCCAGAATATATACACAATACTACTACTTATTTTTCAAGCTTGATCTGCAAGATAATAATAATATAATTAGTATTTTAATAGTTTAACCCAAACATTTTTCATGGCGCACACTCGTGCCCTAATTTCCTTAAGGTAAATGTCATTGAACACTCTCATATTTGTACGATAGGACGTATACGTAACCTAATTGATTTCTCATCATTTTAAGTAACAAAAGCCCAAGCATGTGATGCTAAATCACCCGGCATTGCTACATGTATTCTCTTCAATTTTACGCTTGGCACAGGCAATGCCCAACACATTACGCAGTTATACAATTCACACTTAGTCATCAACGAATCGAAATGTACTCGTAGAATGTGGCACATTAACCAAAATAAATTGTCTGAATGATTTGTGAAAATTGCAAAGCAACAATTAAAAAATAAAAAAGTGTAACACCTTTATACATACATACATTACGACCTTCCCGGTCGTTTGAATTTACAAAAGAAAACATATGCATACCTTTAAATAGTCTCAGATAATAAGAAGTTCAGTCGAAATGTCAACTTATTTTGTATAAAAATAGGTTTTTACTTGCTATACTAAAAATATGTAAAAGAAATCACACGTGAGTTTTATAATGTGAATGAATAAGGCTATCAAATGAAAAATAGATAAAAATTCATTATATATAAATGCACAAGCTTTCTTTTTAGGCATAACCATTATCTTTTTTTTAGGGTTAATTGTATAAACAAAAGTTTTGAAACTTTTCCCACGCCGAGGAGTATCTACAAAACTTCCTAGAAATGCTACAAGTGTTTACTGTTCCTCCATTATGAGCCTCGACTACTTCACAATGCATCCAATAGTTTTATTTTTGCGTGGCGATGTCACCGGAATAGTCGATTTCTTTTCAATTAACTATGGTTTAACTATTATGAAAAAAAACTGCGCCAGTAATAGAAATACTATTTCAATAAGTTATTTTTTTCTCGACAAATTCAATAAAATACAATTGAACAAAAACGCAGGTTCGGATTCAGCAAATCAAGCCATTGTGGAAGAAGCTATTAATATTTTTTATTGGTCTGCACTAGCTAGCGTGGGATTATCCACTTAAGTATCGCACATAAGATGCTATCGAGCGTATTGTGTGAAACTAAAGTCAACCGTCAACAAACAAATTCGGCATTGATTAGATATTCACCATTTGCCAAATCTTAGAAAAGATCCGAGAATAAGGAATGGATATACATTATCTTTTTATATAATACATATTGTAGCTGTCTTCGTAATCTCACTAAGGAGCTGCCTCTACGCCACTTTGTTGAATTTATACGGCTGCGCTAACATGCAGGTTCCACACTGGGTGAATCTTTATCGTGCGATTTCTTCAATTTATAATCGCGCTGTTAGTTCTGCATTCTCTAAACTTGATAAAGAATCGAAGCGAATGGGTCTGCTAGTGAACGAGCACTAAACGAAATATCTCCTGGCATCAATTGGACTGTCATCGCATTCGCGACTTGGCTTAGTCACTGTTGGTAGTCATAACTTCGAGGTCTATCTAGGGACCAGCAGTAACAACAAACAGGCGCTCTTCTTCTCCTTCTGCACTGAATTTGAAATACCCTCAAGGGTAATACGTAACGTGAAGATAATATCTGCTGCTTCAGTGAATATTCCTAGAGCCGAATTAAAATTAATACGAGAAAATTTAATTATGTTGCTTTTTAATGAGGGTTGAGATTATTATACAATGCCAAAGAAGAGTAGAAGGAATCTCAAACAAATTCAACTCATATTCATTTAGTTATATTCAGGGATTATTCTTCTCCCAGGCAATTTACGAGTACTACATCTATTCAATTATAATAAAATTATTCAAGTCATTCCGAACATTTACGAAGAACGACGTGAGCATACAAAACATTTTTACTTATATTTTTTTAATTTAATGTTTTTCCTGCGTCTACTCGTGTTAATATATTTCAACAGTATTCTATGCTCAAAGCACACGCTGTGTGTTACTCTTCATCAAGTGAATTGTGTTTGTAATAATTCGTTTCGGAATATAATTCGGAGTTTTCAGTTTCTATTATTTACTTTTATTCATTTTTATGGAACTCTGTCCACCAGACTATAAATTCCTTAACGACATTATTAACCCATAAGCAATTGTCTTGATTATGTCATTAACGAGCATGAAGAGTTATAATGATGGCTTATAAGGCTCATGAAGTTAGCTACTTGAATCAATGCCGGCAGCAGCAGTATTAAATTCTCACGATCTAAAAGTGAAAAAAAAACAATTAAGAAATGAAAAATAAAGCAAATAAGCGAACAAAAAAAACCGGTTAAAATTCAGTAGAGCAGCTGAGGCGCCTTCTTCAAATCGTCATTATATATACATCTATGTATGCATGTGTGTATGTACACGTACACGTTCCGACTCTGACAATTTTATGTCACTTGTCACACAGGAGCTTATATATACGTATACATATATTTAAATATGTATACGCACACCACTCTGAGGTTTTCTAGAATCCCATATCATTACAACTTAATTGTGACATTTTTACGACTGGACGAAAATGCGACATCATTGACAACGTCCAAAAACCGCATATATGTTTCACCAGATGGTGCATCGCATTGAATTTTGGATGATTAAAGTACGGAAGGGCTCTGATTGATTGCGGCCGAACTTTTGGTGAGTGTTGGTGACCTTTACTTCTTAGTTATAC